ACGGTCATGACTGTGGTTATGTCCAGTTCATGGGAGAAGAGGGAAAAATACATTTGGATATGTTGGAGTAGTCATTTGCATTCTTAATACTAATTTTTTCAGTCTTTTCTTTTTATTTCATCTAGTTTCTTAACTATTCCTTTAGATTATCTTTAAGCAGTGAAATACTTATGCGTATATTTAAGCTTATGAATTGCGAGTCCATAAAGTCAGTGCAGCTCATTGTGTGCTTTAAGCAGCACTTTTTATCATAGGACATAGTACCTGATGCACTTCTCGTGTGATTCAAGAATTCAATAAAAATTGAGTATTGTGACCAATCTTGAAAAATACAAGGACATCAGATTATTTACAGACTCAAATCTTCACAGAGATGTTCATCAGTTAATATATTGTAAGTCAGAAATTCCCAAGACTGTGTTCAGTAAAGTTTCCATTTCACAACCTTACAAATTTTGGAAAATTTGATACAGCCCTATTGGATAGGAAAAGTAAGCAAAGCAAATCTAGAAAGGATTACTTGTTTTTTTCACTTCTCACTGAATGCTAAAGAACTTATAATAGCTCCTGGCTCTGTCAGAGATTCTTTTTTTTTTTTAAATTAGAATGAGGAGTCATTTGCATTTAGGAAAGTATTTCAAGTCTAATATTCTCAAAAGTGAGATTTTTTTTTAATTTTTATTTTCATACCATTATTTCAACCTAAGCCCCTTTAGGTTTCTCCCATGTTTTGCTCAATTCAGTATCACTTTTGAATTTAATCAATGTACAGCAACTAATCAATATTAAATGTTTTTAAACATAATTAAAATGTAGAGTAAAGGTTATGTAGCACTAGTTGTTGTAACACGCACTTCATTTTCTTTTACAGCCTGGTACCTTTCTGCTTTTCACTGCTTTGTGCTTATTTTCCTTTCAAAGTTTGTTTGTGGTTTTTTTTGGACATGTTCAATTCACTGCTACTAAAATATCATTTCAAATAAAACTTCGAGAGGCAAACTGGATTCTGAAAAAGTTATGTTTATTATTTCACTGAATAAGATTATATGTTCCTTGGTATCCCAAAGCTTTTCCTCAAGTATTTTGTTTTTAGTATTGATTCATATTACCCATAGTGACTGATAATTTTAGAGCAGCCTTTCATAAACACCTTTGTATATGAGGATGTTACCAGTGGGAGAAAGAATTCCACATAGCCTGGAAGAATTTACTCAATATTTTTGTCATGTAGAGAACATGTGACTTTGTGAAAACATCAGTAGATGTTTTGTCTTCAGGTTTAAAATATACCTTAGAGAAACAAGACTGCTTTTTTTGTCTATTTCCAAGGAGTTTTTCCAGTCACTTTATTTCTAATATACTTGTAAACTATATTGTAAATTCTGCATTGTAGTGGCACATCCTCTAGAATTTGATTTGTGGAACATATATTTGTTAGAAATCATTATTGATTTCAAATTATAGACCATTGTCTAAACCCAAAGTGTTTCATCATAGACATGCAAGCACAGCCATAACAGCAGCAGCAGGTGTCTACATTATTGGTTTAGTATGCAGTGTAATGCACTTCTAGAGTAAATGCCCTGGTTGTCCCAATCTCCTGGGCTTTGTTTCAGTTCACAGAGTATTTGGTATTGACCACATAATGCTCCTTCTCTGATTTACTTATGTGGACAGCCTTGATTGTTTTTAGAGACTGGAAGCAGGATATAATTGCTTTGTGCCCTTAAACTATAAAATGTATTGGCTAACACCTGTGAGGTAGCTGGGGATATTGCAGTATTCATCACCCCTGTGAAATGAGCAATGAGTCTTTGCTAACCTGTCAGTCAACAGTTCGATGAGAAAGGTTCGACCTCCATTGCTCCCTCGAAGGGAATTGTCTTCAGTGCTGCTAAGTTACAATCCTCCAGCTACCTGGTTTTCTTCCTTGAGGTTTTATACCTTTTCATATTGCTGCTTTTCCTTTTTAAGCCTTGAGTTGTTAACTAGCTCTATCTCAAGAATTTTACCTGTGTCTGGAATTTAACCTTTCCTTTTGTGCATAAATAAATATTAGTCTATATATTTCATTATAACTTTTGTTAGAACCAAGTAGTTTTCTTGTAAGTCTTAGACAACATTGCACAACTGTGCTGTTGTGTCACTAGGCAGTGGATCACAGATAGAAGAATATCCAGGAGGATGGCGATACCTACCTACCTGCCTGCAAATCTTTACCATACACTCTTCCATCAGGATCTCAGCTTTCACACAAACATTTTCTGGCTCAGTATGCTTTGCTTTCTTACCTTACGTTTTTCTCTTTTGATCTCTTACAGAAATTCTTTCCAAACTCATCTCTCACATCCCCATATCTCTTTCTTTACTGTGTTTTTTTCTGTATTGCTGTTTCCAACTGATCTTCCCAATAGCAACAGTGGGTTTGACCACCTAGCAAAGCCAACAACATGAGGGCCTCAGGAAAACAGCACTGCCTGCTGCCCACGTATGCCATCCTCATCACATCTGTGGCTGCACATCAGCTGACTGGTACTTGTTGAAGCATAAACATATCTGCCTTGCTGCAGAACGTTGGAGCATGAATCCTACTGCAACCCCCACAAAGACAATCTAATATCAGAAGATTGGCTTATTAAGGTTGTCCTCCTGAAGGAGGTTGAGAATGCACTGTCCCTGTGTTACAGTTGTTCAGTTGATGTCCAGCCTCTACATGGATTTCAGTTTCAGGGACCACTACATTACTTGTAAGCAAGGTCTGCTTATGTGTATTGTGGTGTCTTAGAGCTATTACTGGCAGCAGGAGTGCATCACTGTGTGGCACTGGTGTGCCTTAGGATGGGCTGCTTAGGAGCCCACAAAACAGAAAGTTTTGGTAATAGTTTTCCTTAGGCAGCTTCTCTTCACTTGAGAGCATTTAGACTGAAAGCCCAGTCTAACTGATCTCAGTTAAAATCCCTGAAACCCTTGCAGTGTGGGTGTAAGGAGCTTCAGCACCAACTGCTTTGATTTGTGATCTCTCTCTGTTCTGCCTCATCACACATACCTGTTCTGTTCTGGTTTCAGCTGGGACAGAATTAATTAATTTTGTTCTTAGTTCCTGGTACAGTGCTATGTTTTGTATTGAGTATGACGTTGATAACACACTAGCCAAAGGAATATTCCATACCGTAGAGCATCATGCTCAGTATATAAACTGGAGGGAATTGTCTGGGAGCTGCTAATTGCTGCTCAGGAATGGGATGGGCATTGGTGATGAGGAATTGTGTTGTGCCTCACTTTTTTCTCTTGGATTTTATCACACACTATCTCCTTTCCACTACTATTATCATATTATACTTTACTTCAATTCTTAAACTGTTCTTATCTCACAAGATTTACCTTTTTTTTCAATTATCCTCCCCATCCCACTGTGGGCTGGTGGGTAGTGGGCTGTGGGGTTTGAAAGGAGGGTTGAGCAGGTGGCTGCGTGGTACATAGTTGCCAGTAGGTTTAAACCACAACAACTTGCTAATACAGACATAATCAAAATTTCTGCACTCACTTCTGAGTCAATCACACACATTGGGCAAGGTATGTACCGTTCGAATTTATCCTTTTCTACTTTCCTGCAACTGGAATTTCAAACACACCTCCTTCCTTCTACTTCCAATTCAAGTATGCTTCTGCTTTTCTAGAACAGCCCCAATATAGACACTGAATTAAAAATTGTTCATGTGTATTTCACTATTGGTATGTATATTACTAATATCTCAAATACAAGTTTAGTATTAAGATATGCAACCTAATGCTCAGAACCTCTAGCAAAGTATGTACCCAATATAGGCTACTTTGGATTGCTTTGTAATGGTTTTGAACAGCTTTAATTCATTTCAATTTCTGTACAAAGATGTCTCTTTTCTATACCACCTATTACAAATTCTATGCATATTTTTAATGCGAAGTAGGATGAGAGGTGGGGTAAAGACTTTCAATGCAACTTGTAGCATGATATTCAAAACAAATAATGAAATATTTCCTAGGTATTGACTAATGAACTGTTATCTTTTATCTGTGAAAAGAGTGATGAAATATCTATTAGAAAGAAAAATTATTGAAAAAACCCCATTATTTTGTATCAAAAGTAAATTTATATTGGCAACAGCTGTATTGCAGAAATTGTGAGAATATTCTATGCAGTTTTTCTTTCTCTTTTACCTCTATTTCCATCTTGTATAATACTGCCTTTGTTAACATTTGTTGCATTCTTCTAAGCCTCAAGCTGTGACTTGAAAGATCTTGTATAAGACTAATAGGTCTTACTTAATACTTTCGATCTTTGCAGGGTCAGAGCCTTACTTTCAATTAAGTAATACGTTTCATGAGATAAACGTCCTCGAATTCCACAGAAAAAGTAAAGAGTTTAAAAGTTAGAGAATACACCTCAAAAATGTCTTTCTTTGTATCTGTGCAGAATTGTTTGCAGTTTCATTGCATTATTCCCATTAACTCTGTAGGGCAGGAAACATACAAATTGCACATTGGAATAACATTATTCTTGGGAACAAAGATAGTTTAAACTTCATGTTAAAGAGTTCTAATAAATTCTAGGCACAACCTCTTTAATTACAGCAGTCCCTGTAAATTTGTTCAGGGGGAAAGGAATTGCTAAGTAGCTTCGGAAATTCCTGCTTCCCTTTTGTGGAAGAATAATGAAAAGTGTGAATCACATTTTCCACATAATTTAATGAAATCCTTCATTAGTGAGAAGTGACATTTGCATTCCACACTAAACAAGTTCTTTGTGCATGGAAAGTAGCTCTCTTAATTTGTTTAAAATTGCTGGGAATCTATTACCTTTGTAGGATGAATACTGATTGCTGTGCCGTTGGTATTTTCACAACCAAATCAGTTTCAAATGAAGATTACTAACATTATGTTAAACCAATTGCTGGAAGAGAATATAGCATTTTTCTCAGTACTGCTATCAATTAAAATCTACTCCTTCTGTAATCCCACAGCTGAACAAACAGGAATGTTATTTATAGGAGATGCAATAATACAGGTCAGTAAACATTCACTTTTTTCCACAGACTTTTGTTTCATACTTACTTTTATTTCAGTAACTAATTTACACATTGCAAATCATCTTCTCCCTATCATATCTGTTTTTAGGTTAATGGTATAAATGTAGAAAGTGCTACCCATGAAGAAGTGGTAAGTCATTCCACTTTGATTTTTTTATTGGTATACAGAATATCTTATGCCCAAAGTGTTCTGTCTCTAGCCTTGTTTCAAATTAATTTACTCTTTTTTACTATAAAGGTAGTGCTATAGTCAGATTTGTCATATATGTGATTATTAAAAATTTTCCAGGTATTTCATTCATTTTTGAAATATAGTTTCCTACAACATTTGGCCTAAACCAAAACAAAATAATTTATTGAGTAGTGGTTATTTTTTACCAATTTCTTTGATTTGTCAGATTGACTGTATGAGGTTAAAGCCAGTTCACATTCAGTCCATGTGCAGTGCTTTTCCGATCTGCAGTGCAAGGCAGTATAGATAAAAATTGTTATCCCCTGTTGCCTGTTTATTGGCAGTTATCAGTTGATTCACTGACAACTGTATCTCAGAATAACATCTGTAGCAACCATAAGTGACATGGGCTTTGACAGTCTTATCAGCAAGGCAGAAATTACATGGCCAAAGGAACTAAACTTGCTTTTATTACCTGGAGGTGATCTCTCTAGGTCAAGATAAAGTGCAGCTGCATGATCTTGCAGTTCTTTTCTTGGTGTTGATTAATACCATCAGGCTGAATCTCTTACAGACAATCTCAGTAAAGCACTGAGTCAGATCTATTGTGTATTGGTGAACTGCCCTCCTGCTGCTTGTATTGTTATTGCACATAAAAAAACCTCTAAACTTGCTGAAAGTTATTCCTCATAAAATGGTAAGTTACATCCCTTAAAGATTGTTTTTCAGAACCAAGAAGTGCTCCAGAACTATTGATGTAACACAGCAGAGATGAGGAGTCAAAGAGAAAAGCATAGTGCTGCTCCTTGCCCTATACATGGGAATTCAATGGAAGCATTACGCAAAATTTCCTAAAACAACTGTAGGCCATGTGGCTGAAGGAAACTCAGAGAGATCTCAATGAGCCAGGAGACAGATTTGCAAAGGGACTTTACTACCACAACCTGTTACCATAATCAGAGTGGGGTTGGGTAAATGGGTCAGGTGGTAGAGGAAGGGGCTGGTTCTATGAGATTTGAGATAAGGTGGGCTGTTGCCAAAGTTCCTGAGAGAATGGAAGATTTCTTATTTTTTACTTCTATCAAAATTGTGTCTTTGCATTTTTATGAAATAATGATTAAGATAAAGTTCTCTTTATTTCAATATGGTGGGTTTTCAGTTTGAAAGAAATGCTTCAGAAAATGTTTGGGCACTTAAAAACACCACTGAAGAAGGCAGTATTATAAAACATATTTAGCTATTAATATAATAGCATAGTGATTAAGGGTAGTTGTCTAGAAAGCAGGAGGTTGAGGATGGAGGGCTCATCTAACTTTTAGAAAATCATACCTACATCTTCTATCTCTGTAAAGAGTGCCCTATTTTCTAAATGTCACTCAGATTAGAAGAGAGGTGCTCCAGCACTTCTGGTGCTCCAGCACTTCAAAAGGCAGTGTTCAAGCCTTCTGTTCAAGCCTCAGCAGTGAGGCTTGGGTAGTCTCAATTCACTCTGGGTTCCAGCTTACACAACCTTGTTAGCATCACACAAAATACTTAATCAGTGGGAACCAATCAAAGGTTATTGAGTAATTCTTTTGGCTTGCTTTATTTTCATCTGACACCATGATCTCTTACGTATTCAGTCGTCTGCTTCAAGGTGGGACTTCTGAACCATCATCCTTCAATACTGTTTGAGCACACTTCCTGCTGCTTGCATTCTGCTTGCGAGAGACCTCTTTTGTAGATGTCCAACTCAACGTTACTAATTATGCTGTGTGACCCGAGGGACTATGTACTGGGTCTGGCTGAGACAGCATTAATTTTCTTTGTGGTAGCCAGTATGGTGCTGTATTTTGGTTTGTGACTAAACATTAGTAAAGTGCCGCTGTGTTTGTTATTGCTGAGCAGTGCTTGCAGACCACTGAGGCTTTCTCTTTTTTCCCCCTCTAAATGAGTAGGCAGGGAGTGGGCAAGAAGTTGGAAGGGGACATAGCCAGGAAAGCTGACCTGAACTGACCAAAGGGATATTTCGTACCGTATAACATCATACTCAGCAGTAAAAATTGTGGGGAGTGTTCTCTGGAGGATGCAGCCATTGCTCTGAGACTGAATGGGTATCTGTCTGTTTGTAGGAGGTGGTGACTGATTGCCTTTGCATCACTTGTTTTGCTTTTACCTTTGTCTTAAGTTACTAAACTGTCTTTATCTTGAAACTGTTGCTATTGTGAAAGTTTTGTTGCTTTGTTCTTCCTATTCTCTCCCATCCTACCAGTGGGGGGAATGGAATTCAACTCAACACAGACTACTAAAAGGGATGCTGTTGGCAAAGGTAGGGATTCTGAATTACTTCCCTAGTCCAACCATAGTGATAAGCTAGTAAGGGGCAAAACCAAGTACGTTTCTTGCTTTTTTTGGTATTGGACTGTTTTTTTTAATTTATTTGTTTGTAGTTTCATGGTTTGATTATTTTATATTTTTTAATTGTAGCTTTAACAAATGTTTCAAGAATTTTATTTGGGTTTTTTAATTTCTTTGTTTTACAGTGGCATGTCTGGATTTCTTGCTGTTTAGACTTTCCTCCCTTTTGTTCTTAATTTCTACCATTTTAGAATGTACTGCTGGTTCATGCTTGCAGGATGTGAGGATGTGCACTGCATAGGCACAAACTCAGATAACCTACATTTTACTAAATTGAAGCTTGAGTGTATGTCAGTTTGGCTCACATTTGTTAAAGACTTATGACCCATTGGGGTAAATACATGGGAGAGAAGGCTACAAAATCTGTGAACTTTAGGAGAGGACGCCAGTTTGTTCTGTCTGCTACCTACTGTCTTCACTGTGAAGATGCTTCTGTAGATAACTTGTCAGCAACAATTTAACAACAAACTGGCTTTCCTGTTTTTCACATCTGATTACTACAGTTTACTTTTCTCCGCAATTACTCAAGCTGCTACTAGTTCTGCCTAAGGGTATGAATAGAATAAATAACTCCAAATCAGGACTGGGGAAAATCCTGCTTTTACAGAATGTAATACAATAGTGTGGAAAATTGAAAATAATTTCTTTTCCTTGAAAAATAAATTTATTTTTAGAAATAGTCTATTGGTGTGGACAGACTGTGAATACAGAAAATGTTAATTCAGAGATTAATATAGTTTCTGTATTGCTCATCAGAGAGGAAAATTAATTTTCTTTCCCTGATGGCTAATCAGGTTGTCACCCTGCAAAACACAAAAGGAACAGTCAGTTCTCCGGAGGGAAGAGAGAGAGGCAAACAGAGAGGAAGAGTATTTAGGTTGAAATTCGCAAAGAAGGTATACCAATTGATATTCACCTGGCTGGGACCTCAATTTTCGAGGTGTTCACAATAAACTGTGAAAGGAAATGAAACATGAGATGACAGTTTGCTGATTCAACAGAATTTTTCAGATTCATAGAATCACAGAATCATAAAATGATTTGAGTTGGAAGGGACCTTGAAGTTCATTTAGTTTCACCCTTGTGCCATGGGCAGGGAACCTGCACCAGACCAGATTGTTCAAAGCCCCATCCAAACTGGGCCTTGAGCACTTTCAGCAATGGAGCATCCACAGTTTCTCTGGGCAACCTGTGCCAGTGCCTCATCACCCTCACAGTAAAGAAATTCTTCCTAATATCTAATCTAAATCTCCCTTCCTTCACTTTAAAACTGTTCTCCCTTGTCCTATCACTACATTCCTTTGTAAAAAGTCCCTCTCCAGCTCTCTTGTAGCTCCTTTAGGGTCTGGAAGGTGCTCTAAGGTCTCCTCAGAGCCTTTTCTTCTCCAGTCTGAACAGGCCCAACTTTCTCAGCCTGTTATCATAGCAGAGGTGCTCCAGTTCTCTGAGCATGTTCATGGCCCACCTGATAATCGGAGGACTAAAAACAGTTCCTGGCATTTTGTGGTGTGGGGCTGGGTGATTCTCTCTCTCTGTACATGGATGAAGGGGGAAATAACATTCATAAAGATTTTTGTGAGTCCTCGGGGTGAGCACTGCCCTATGATGAAATGCTCTAGAAATACCTGTTTGTTTCCACCATTAGCAAAATATAGGTGATGTGATGAAAAAACATCACTGGAGCCTTTCTAGATGCAGTTGAAATAATCCCATGTAGGCTCCCTTTCACACAAAAGGTGGGGCCATATGATCTTTTGAGGTCCTTCAAAACCTGGGCTGTTTTTTATGATCCTATGATTAGTTCAAATGTGAGTTTGTATGAAATGAATCCCATTTCAAGACAAATTAAACCAAAACTGCTTATATCCATTAACTAGAAAAGGCAGGAGTGAGAGTTTAGGTATAGAAAATGGAAAACTAGGTGCTGCATGGTATTTTTTTCTTACTATATCCTATACATGTATTTTATAGTAAATTATTGTGTTTCACACATTTTTAGTATTTCACCCAAATGTTAATTTACTTGGAATTTTATTCACTGACCCAGGAAAGTACTTAGGAATATTTATTTCTTTTTATTTATGAGTAGTTTCACAGAAGGACATAACTAAATAAACAATATCCATTAAAACAAAATCCATTCAATGGGAATAATTTTATATTTTCAGAATTTGAACTGCTTTTAGTCAGTAGTCACCACATTTTTTTTTCAGATCCCTCATAACTTCAGATGTCTATAGTAATGCTATTTAATGTGTCATTGGCATGTCTGGCAGAAAGTGATGAACTTGTGCTTCATTGGGCTAATTCACTGAGATTCAAGGAATGAACCTGAAAATTATTTATCTACATTGAGATGTTGAGATTTTATTTCCATTCGTCCTTTAAGCCATCATCCATTTTGCATTAGCTATCAGAATTAAATCTCTGCATAGTCTTCTGGAATTCAGTTCTGAGTGGTGGAACATAGATTATTAATTTTATCCATATAATATCAGAAAGAAAGAGATCAAAAAGAAAGAAAAAGGAATTTACATAGCTAAAAAAAGTACATAATTCTT